AAAGGCCGGTTTCAAATACAGACTTCGGCGCCTCCACCTCCTAGTTCAGACACCCCGACACGAAGCCGGGGGATCTCGTTTTCCGAGTCCCCTCGTAATTTTTACAAGGCAGGAATGTGAAAACCAACGCGTTCAGAAGTCTTCGGGATGATTACCGGGAGGCGCGGCCCGCAGAGCCGACCGAAGAAGAGGCCACGGCCGGGCGTCACCGCCCGGGCCGCCCCCGCCCCCGGCGACCTCCCGAGCCTCCCCGAGGCCCCCCGCGGCACCCCGGCCTCTCTGCCCCACCCCGGCCCCCGCGATCCCCGGGCCCCAGCCCGCCCGCCCGCTCACCTGGACCGCTGGAAGAAGCTGAAGGACGACACGTCGGAGGCGGCCTTGAGCAGCGCCGCCTTGGGCTCGCCTTTGTAGAGGACGCTCAGGCAGTACAGTTTCATGGCTCCGCCGGGGCCGCCGGCCGGCCGCGGACCGGCTCGCACGAGCAGGCGGCCGCCGCCCCTCGAGACCCCGGCCGCCGCGGACGGGCCAGTCGCCGCTTCCTCCTCGGGGCTCGGGGTCCACTTCCGGTTCCGGCCAGGGGCCACCGCCCCAGGCTTGCGGAGCGTGTCCGCACCGGGGGAGAGGAGCGACGGCCGGAAACACGCGGCGAGGGGCGGGCGCGAGTGCGAGTGCGCGTGCGCGGGGCCGAGGCCCCGCCCCGCGGAGTCGTCCGGGGCCGCCCGCCGCCTCTAGGACCGCCCAGAGTCCACCAAGGCCAAGGCTGCCGCCTTCTTGCTGGCGTTTGGAGACGAGGCTCGGTCCGTGAAGGGACGAGGTGGCAGTTCCCTCGGAGCCTCGTGCGGTCCCCGTGCGGCACCCTGCGGTCAGGGAGCGTCTCGCAGGACAGACGCGCGCACAGAAGAGGGTGAAGCGACTGGGGCAGAGTCTGCGGACGGGGCCAGACGGAGGGCGTCAGCGATGCTTAGTTCGTTTCCGCACCTGTTCTCGGGGTCGGCAGGTGGCCCAGCGCGGGCAGCCGGGCAGGGCTGCTAGCGTCAGCGTTGAGGTCCGCGTCCGCGGGGGGCCGGGCTCCCCGGGACGGGTTCCCCGGCAATCACAGGGGCGCCTGGCCCCTGAGGCCACCCCTGCTGGACAAGGTGGGAACCATCCCTTCCCGGAGGCCCAGCCCTGGGGAGCCCGGCCACGCAGGGACGGGCAGCCAAGGTCAGGCCGCTGAGCTGTTTCACTGATCCGAGTGAGCCTTGGGCCCACACGGTAGGGGGCCTCCAGTGGAGGCGTAGTCACGCCTCCGAAAGAGTCCGGCGCCTGTCATGCTTTGACGTATTGATTGTTTTGAGTCAAGGCCGTTCAGGAACAGCAGGTGCAAGAGGGCACTCTTGAGTCCCCCTCGCGCTTCCTGAAAGCAGAGGTTAAGCCCCCATGGAGCGTGCCCTCTCTGTACCAGGAGGAGGGAACGCCTGCCCGGCACCGGGGTGGACGGAAGCCAACAGAACTCTGCACGAGCAGACCTTGCTGGTCACTAATCCACAACGGACTGTCCCTACCCAAACCTCCTCTGGACACGTGGTCACTTAGGCTTGGCCTGAGGATGGCATCCCGACCACCACGGCACTGCCCTGCACAGAAACTGACCCTTGAGAGAAGCGACGTGATTTGCACGGACCAGGGAAGGGAGCGACCCTGAAGCAGAGTTAAGCACAAACTTCTGGTTAAACATGGCAGGTTGGATGCTCTGGTTTGTATGAACTCCCTGGCAGATCTCCACTCAGATGACAGGGCTGCGGAGCACAGTGGGTGGGCAAGGCCGCCCCGGGCGGGCGGGTGTCGGCTGGGAGAGGCACGGTCTGCAGCGGGGGCTCGGCCGGTAAGGGGCTCAAGTGCGAGTGTCCTGGCGAGGCCCTCCACCTGCTCCCCAGATCCTCCAGCCAGGGAAGCACCACCTTTCGCCTCACCCTGGGGGGCAGGATGAGGGGGTTTCCTTCTGGAGAGTTGAGGGGTCACAGCTTCTGCCCCCTTTGAAGGCACCAGCAAAACCACCCATGCTTCAGGTCCCTGCGGGGAAATGTGTCCTGTGAGCCCCAAGCCAGGGTTCTGGTCAGTGTGCAGTGTGGATGCTTTGGGGTCAGGTCCCGTGCTCAGGAAGGGCTGGGCTGTGCCTGGGCAGGAGGTACGTCTCAGCCTCTGTCCTCAGCAGGAGGCTGAGGCCAGGAGCCCTTGGGGGCCGTGGGCACTGCGGACTGCAGCCCAGTCCTTCAGCCTCCTGGCCTCCGTGGCCTCGTTCTCGTTTGAAAGTGATGATCATACCAGCCCTTCCTGCCGCTCCTGCACCACTCAAATGACAGGACAAATGCAAAGTTCTTTGTGAATTACAATGGTTTTAATCAGCATTAGTTATAATGACAACGTCTCCTAATAAATATGTTGCCTTTCTTGCCATACCTGGTGTGGCTCAGTGGATTGACTTCAAGTCTGAAATCCAAAGGGTCACCAGTTCAATTCCCAGTCAGGGCATTTGCCTGGGTTGCAAGCCAGGTCCCCAGTAGGGGGCGCATGAGTGGCAACCACACATTGATGTTTCTCTCTCTCTTTCCCTTCCCCTCTCTCTAAAAATAAATAAGTAAAATCTTTAATTACATATATGTATACATATCCTCTTTTTAAGACTAAATCTATCAAATGTGTAAGATCTACATGAGAAAAGTAATAAAACTCACCTGGAGTACACAAAAGGAGACCCAAACCAATGGAGCAGCACCCCATCTTTCTGAGTGAGAAGAGTCAACATTATAGAGATGTCAGTTCTTTTAACATGAACCCCAAAATCCCAAAATTCTATGCATTTCCCATGAAATTATCAATAGCATTATTTCATAAAACAGCAAGTACATTCTAGGATTTATATGAAAGATAAAGAGCTCACAGTAAAGAAAATTTTGTAGGGGAAAAAAGAAAGGATTTTGGCTGCACCAGATATAAAAAAACTAGAAAGTTATGCCAACGGGAAGAGCAGGCAGAGGGCCACGGCACAGGCAGAGCTGAGGCTGAGGCAGGGGGCACCCGGAGTCTCTCCCCTCTTCCGACCAGTGTCACTCACGACACAGGAACAAAAGGTGCCGCTCCTCGTCCCACACCCAAATGGGGGGCTGAGTCATCTTGCATGTCCCCTGGCCGGCAACCCGTCCCAGACAGCAGCTAGACCCTGAGGGGCCCAGGGGACAACAAGAACCTCCCTGACAGGAGGAGAGTGGGAGAAGGCTTTGGCACGGCTGCTCACAGCCCTGTCTTCCCTTCCGGGGCCACAGTGTGTTCCCAGAGGCTCCGGGGAGCTGTAGTTCCAGAGCTAGCTAGCCTGCAGGTCCACCTGCTGGGTGACCAGAGCTGAGTGGCTTCTTACCCGAGAGAATAACACAGTGACGCTCAAGCTGTGATGCAGCTGACATCACAGGTCCATGGGAAGAGGGCGCTGGACTGGCTCCTCATGCCATGCACGAAACAAGCAGGAGGACCAAAGTGCTAACCACCAAAAAATGGGAAAAAATACTGGAAGGAAACATTGGAGGACGTTTTGTAATTTGGTGTGGGAAATGCTTTTCTTCAAAGCAAAGATGGAAATTCATACAAAGGAAACACTTCTGTATGATGAGAGGCACTATTTTATTAATCAAGTTGTCGGTTTAGCAATAGGCTGGAGGGATGATATAGCATATTAAACACAGGATTACTGGATATTGTAGAGAGAATATGAAAGTAGTTTATACAAATTGAAAGACAAAATAATTCAGTAATAAAATAGTTAAATAATATGAACAAGTCATCTTCAGGGAAAAAGTACAAATAACCACTAAGCATATAAAAAGCATGTCCAGCCCTGGCTGGTGTGGCTCAGTGGAATGAGTGCCAGCCTGCGAACCAAAGGTCGCCAGTTCAATTCCTAGTAAGGGAAAGTGCCTGAGTTTTGGGTCAGGTCCCCAGTAGGGGGCATGAAAGAGGCAACCACACCTTAATATTTTTCTCCCTCCCTTTCTCCCTCCCTTCCTCTTTCTCTAAAAATAAGTAGAACCTTTTAAAAAACACAAAAAGATGTCCAGCAAACAATTAAAACAACAATGAGATACCAGATCAGCAGCAAATGGTAAAGATTTATCATCTCAAGGATTGTAACCAAATACCGACCGTCGGTGAGTAAACTGGTGAGGTGTCGGCCGGTAAGTCCTCCCCAGCGATTCGGCTCTGGGAACCATCCAGGAGCGTGAGCACGTGTGACCCAGGGAAGCACAAAGGTTTGTAGCAGGAAGATGCAGGTGCCCGGAGACCACGCCCCGGAAGCCAGTCCCGTCGGCTGCTCAGGCCCGTCGCCTGGGCTGAGCCCGCGGGTGTGCTCGGCCCCCTGCCCTGCGTGCGCACCCTCGTCCTGACTGAGGAACGCTGTGAGCATCACAAACACACCAGCTCGGACGGGGTCAGGCCACAAATTCCCATGAGGTCGTCTCTGGGTCCCATTTTGCTCCAGATGTGAGTGAACCCCTGAGCCAGCAGCCCCCAACCCCTCGGCCGGTGTCAGTGGGCGGCCTGGGCCCCGGGCTGAGGCCAGGTCTGTGGCCTCTGGCCGGCCAGGCCCACTGCTCTGGCTTAGACGACGAGGCAGTGGCCAAGGACACGCTGACAGAGCTTGTGGGTGCCCTGGGCATGTGTGGCAGCGCTGGGGGCCAAGTGGGCCATGCCCTCTCCTCTGGTGCCCGGATTCCCAGGGGCCTCTGCTCTTCAGGACGGGAGTTTGGAAGCCCCTGTGCCTGCCCTGAGACCTGGACAGGTGGTGAGGCCTGCAGTGACGAAACCGCTGTGCTGTTGCTATGGGGATGGGGTTGGGGCCTTCTGCCTGCAGCCCGAGTTTTCTGCTTGGCAGCTCTAATGACAGGCGGCCAGCCCGCTGAGGCCAAGGGCTGCACAGGGGCCCTGCTCCTGGTTGCCATGGCAGTTCTGGCCCTCCCAGGCGCGGGAGGCCGCGCAGCAGGATGCCCCAGCACACACCTGGTCCCTGCACACCTGGCCACAGCAGGAAGAAGTGTCAGGTGGTGGCTGCGTCCTGGGAAGCAGGTTGGGGTGTGAAACAGTCACCTTCGGCCTAATTACTCCAACGCTGCCTCAGCCACAGGAAGGGACCGGAGATTTTCCGCTGAGATTTTCTGCGTAGAGGCCACCACACTGCCCAGCTCAGCGCAGCCCGGAGAGAAAACTGACCAACCCCGGGGCCCGGTGATGGCCCTGGCCTGAGGAGGCCTCTGTGGGGAAGGGCCCCAGCGGTGGCCCTGAGCACAAGGCTCGAGGGCTCGCTGGGGACGATGAAGAGCAGGAAGCTCTGTGACTGAAGCTCCAGCCAGAGAGCAGCTGAAGTGGACCCTGTTTTCCCAGACGCCAGGGCCCGCGTGACCCCCGGTGCGGAGGAGTCTTGGGACGTTCCTGCCCGGAGCCCTGCTGGGGAACGCGGAGGGGTCCCAGCTCGCCCGAGCTGGCCGCCGGGCCTGTGCCGGATGACAGTGCTGGGATGGAGAGCGCCATGAAGGAAAAGGTAGCCCTGCCTCCTCTGGCCGCAGAAGCTTCTGGGCCGCGTCCCCGCATCTGGTGGTCGGTTTGGCTCGGGCCCGCGCTTGCTGCTCCGCGTCTGCCTGAGGCACAGGCCCCCTGGGGAGACGCACTGGGCAGGCAGTCCTGGGCACCGGCCTCGCTGGCGGGAAGGGCCTTCCTTCCTGCAGACCAGGCCCCCTGCTTCAGGCTCCAGCCCGTGACCCAGCAGTCAGGCAGCCAGGGGACCTGGGGGGTGACTTCTGCTGGTCGGAGAGTCTGGGGAGGTTAGAGCCTGGGGCAGAGCCAGCCGCCCAGCCACGGGATGGTAGCTGACAGACAGGACGGCAGGTGGCCGGTGCCCACACGCCCTCGAAGGAAGCTTCGTGCGGAGCCTGGGGGCCGTTCCTCCTGGCGAGGAGCAGAGAGCAGTTACTTTTTGTGAAACAGAGAGAAACCCAGACACCGTCCGAGCCAGCCCTGTGCCCACGCAGTGGGCGAGGAGCCTGTGCAGGGCACGGGAGAGGGGCCGGGGCCGGGGTGCAGGGGGCACGAAGGGCGAGGCCTGGCCGCCCCTGCGGCATAACCCCCTCCGCACCTATCGTCCCTCCTCCTTCTGGGAAATGACGTTGTCAGCACAAACCAGGGCTGGCCCATTCCCAGCAGAGCTGATGACGTCAGGAGAAACCAGCCAGGTGCCCCCAGTGCAGGCAGCCGAGCCCCTGCGCTGTGGCTGCGGGCAGCCACCTGAGGAGAAGCCAGGTGGCACCTGTGGCACAGGCACAGTGACGGCTTGGGGACAGTGTGAGAAGCCTGTGGTGGCCACAGGGAAGCGGTGTCCGTCCCCAGGCCTGGGTGGGCCCACGTCCCCCCCTGTTCGTCCTGGGGGATGCAGGGCTCCACCTGGCAGAGCGTTTCTGCTCCCGAGGCGAGTGGGCACTGGTCCCGGTTCGAGAGCCAGGCCGGCTGGTCTGGGCCCCGGGGGGAGGGAGGCGTGTGCCTTGAGGAGGCAACAGAAACCCCAGTTCTCAAGATAATGTTTCAATGCAAATGCTAAAGAACCACAATTAATGCAAGAAGTTGTGATGAACAGAATACAAAATTCTAAGGAAAGATGAGCACGGCTGGCTGGTGGCCGCTGCAGCTGAGGGCTGAGGGGCGCCTGTTGGGGGCCCTTCCGCCAGTCCTGGGCCAGGGTCCTGCTAGGAATGTGAGCCTCACTGCCCGGACCAGCAGGCCCAGCCCTGGGTCCCCTGGGAAGTGCGACCCGCACCCCGAGACAGCCCTTGACCTGGAGCCGTGTTGGGCTACCCTGGGCTCCCAGGAGGGGAGCACTCAGCTGCTTCGGAGGGGACCGTGTCCTGCTGGTCTCTCTTCCTGGTTCCCCAGTTCCCCTCACCTGCACTGCCCTTCAGGTGTTACCTGGGCTCACCGTTCTGTGGCCCGCAGGACCGTGTGGCCCCAGGACCATTTCCAGTGGCTTTCTCGCGCAGGTGACAGCCCAGCGCAGCTTCTAGGGCTCCCTGGGGGCAGGTCTGCTCCCCACAACGCTGCCCTGAAATTGGGCCCTGGGGACCCCTTGGGACCTTGGTCCGAACTCCCCTGACCCTCGAGCGGGCCCAGCGCCCCCTCGAGCACCTGGAGGGTGGGAGACCTGCCGTTGGCCGGGGGTGAGCCGGCTCCAGCGCCAAATGAACCGCCGTCAACCCGGCAGCCTGAACCACAGCTCCGGAGGCTGAAGCCCGCGACCAGGGAGCCTGTGCGGCCCGCCCGGTGCAGGGCCCTCCCCACCTCCGGCTGTGTCCTCGCTGGGGGGTGGGGGGCCCTGCTCGTCATCTTCTTGTGAAGACGTCAATCTCACCGGGGGCCCCCTCAGGGCTCGTCCACCGGACCGCCTCCCAGAGCCCCACCTCTACATGGTGGCACACTGGGGTCAAGGCCTGGACGTGAGGATCTGGAGGCACGATTCGACCTGGACCGCCGACGAGACCCTGTCTGTGGGGGACACGGCTGCCCACAGACAGGTGGCCTGGCACCGGGTCAGAGGTGCACTCAGCGGAGTGGGGCTGGGCGGGGAGGCCGTGGCGCAGGGGAGCTCCGCTGGCCGCCTGCATGCCTGCTCTGCAGCGAGGCGCCTCGGAAAGAGCATCACAACCCCAGCTCGGCCCTGGGGACCGGCCCTGGGGACCCACCCTGAGCCGGAGCTCGGACAGGGGCCAAACCCATGCCCCTCCGGCCGAGGGCGGCCGGGCCACCCGGGGAGGAGCGTCTCTGCAGAGCTGCCCTGAAGCCAGCCCCGGGAGAAAGGGTGGGTCTGCGCTGGAGCCTGCCCTTGGGGCGTCCTGTGAGGGCAGCCGGGGGAGCTCCTGGGGTCCCGACCCCGGGACAGAGGGCTGGCCCTGCCGGCCCCGCCCCTCTCCTCCCCGACCCTTGGGTGAATGCGGGCCCTCCCCCCTTCAGGGCCGAAGACAGCTCTCTCTGTCTCTCTGTGTGTCTCTCTGTGTGTCAAGCATGGACGCAGAGGGGCCAGGATGGAGTGGTGAGAAGGTGGTGGCTGGGGGTGCTGGCTTAGGCTCAGGGAGAAACGGAACCTGGTCCCGGAACCGGGTGCGTCCAGATCCACCCACGGGGTGGGGCGGGGCCTCCCGTCGGCCCCGCCTCCCGGTCCCAGCGCGGCGTCCTGAGTCTTGGTAACCCCGGCCGGCCGGGGCAGTTTGCCCGCGTGGCCCGGTCCAGAGCTGAGAGCGACCCCCCTCGCCCCTCGCCGCCCCCCGCTGCCCGCGGGACTCGGGCGGACGCTCTGCCGTGTGCCAACCTGGAGGCACGCACGTGCGGCTCCCGACTGCCAACAGTCGTCCGCTCGTCGTCTCGTTAGCGAGGCTTTTCCCGCGGCGCGCGGCGCGCCGGAGCCTGCTTCGGGCGCTTCGTACCCGCGTCTGTAAAAACTAGCCGGACCCAGTGCCGCTGGGAGAGGAAGGCTGTGACCTCCACTGACGTTTTCTCCATCTGTGTCCATCGAGCTGGAGTTGTCCGTGTCTCCTTGAGTCGTAGTGACAGTTCGTGTTACTTTGAGAGTCATCCGCTTTCCCCGAACGTGTGAGCGGTGCTGGAGCCGCCGCACACACGCCCGCACGAGGCCCTCCGCCCGCACGGGGGGCTCCGCCCGGGGCTGTCCCCGGCGGCTTCTCCCCCGGCCGTTCCTCCTGGGTCAGACCACCGAGTGCTCGCCGCTCCACCGGTCTCTTGAACAACCGGGTCCCGGGCTGTTCGCTGAGTTTACTGTTGTTTTCCTTTGCGTGTTTCCCGCGTAACTGGTGTCTGCTTTCATCATCCTGGATCTTCTGTTCTAATTTTCCCTGGGTTGCCTGTAGTTCCTGTGTGTGTGTGTGGGGGGGGGTTGCATCCTGAGTGGACTGCTTTGCTCATCGATGTCCACTTACTTCGTCGCGTGCCCACACCCACGGGAGGGCGTCCCCGCTGCCGTGGGTCCTGCTGAGCCAGGGACTCCCATGGTGTCCCTGGCGCTGTCACAGCCATGCGTCAGCCAGGGGGCTGCACCCGGCGCAGACCCCCGTCAGCCCCCCGCCGGCTGGGCGCGCCCTCGGCTCACGCCGGGTCCAGGCCACTCCGGACACCCGCGCTCCTGCCGACCGCCCACACCGCCCGCCGTGCCCTCTGTCTGGAGCGCCCCTCTCCACCCGGTCACCTCTCACGCACCATGGACACCAGGAGGGGTTGAGAATCCCTGTCCTCGACCTCCGGAAACCACCCCCCAGTCCTTCCGAGCCCCCCAAGGACTGGAACGTCTGTCTGTCCGTCCATCTGTGCAGCTGCCTGCTGTCCCTCTGTAGGACTAAGCTCCTTGAGAACTAAACCCCAGCCCCCTGCGTGCGCTCTGACGGAGCCCGAATCGGGGACGCGAACATTAAATCAACGAGGGCCCAGACCCCGTACTAACCTCCGCCTTTGCCCGCGGGCGCCACCGTTCCAGGACCCGCCGGGTCGCCCGGGCCAGGAGGCCTCACCCGCCCGGCAGCCTCGGGGTCCTGCCCTCTGTGCCTCAGGGCCTCGCCGCCTCCTACGGCCCCACGGCCCTAGCGTGCAGCCCGCAGAAAGGCGAGGACAGCCTGGGCCTGGAAACGGTGTGCTTCCCTTCGTGCGAATTCCACAGGTTCGGCTCCCTGCCTGCCCAGCAGGCGCGGTTGCCTGGGCCCCAGTGCGCCCTGCATCTGCCGCCTCTGCCGCTCCTGGCCTCCGTCCGACTCCCACCCCCCTGGTCCCCGACACAAGAACACAGCAGACGCGGACACCGCGGTGCTGGCTTCAGGGCCACCCTGCATCAGTGAGAGGGGTGCCCACGCCGGGGCCCAGCTGGTGCCAGGGGCCACTGGCCAGTGGGTGAGGGATGAGCCCCCTGGGACCCCCGCCCCTAGGTCTGCTTTCCTTCCCGTGAAATGTGGGGCCTGGTGCTCTGGCCAATGTAACCGTGACCCTCCACCCTTCAGAGCCTGGGCTTCGGGGCCTCTGCACAAAAACAGCCGATGAGGCCCGACCCTTGTCTTTTTTTATCCTCAACTAAGGGCGTGCTTGTTGATTTTTAGAGACAGAAAAAGGGAGGGAGAGGAAGAATAACACCAATGTGAGAGAGAAACATCAATCAGTTGCCTCCTGCCCACCCTCCACCCCTAAGCAGGGGTCAATGTGCAACCCAGGCATGTGCCCTGACCAGGAATCGAACTGGTGACCTTTTGGTTTATGGGGCGACTCTCCAACCAACTGAGCCACACGGGCCTGGGCCCAACTCTTAGTGGGTTTTCCTGGATTTTTAGACATTACTCTATTAATACACATTCATTGCAGAAAGTGTAGGAGATACCGATAGGCAAAAAGGAAAGTAAAATCACTCCTGTTTCCACCACCAAGATCATCGCGACCATCATGTAGCTGCGTGTCCTTCCGTGTCCTTCCGTGGCCTCCTGTGGCCTCCCGTGGCCTCCCGTGGCCAAGAGCCCGGGAGGTGCAGCAGGGGCTCTCCCGAGGCCGCAGGCCAGGTGTCGGCCTGGCTGCCTCATCTGCTCCTCCATGGTTCCACTCTTGCCTGGCACAGCAGAGCTGCCTGTGGGCCCTGCGTGTCCTCACGGCCTGGCACCCACTTCCCCCCGAGTGCGGAACCCGAGAACGGACAAGGCAGACGCCTCCAAGCCACTCCTCACCGTTTCTGCAACGTCCTGTTCGCCGCACGGGCTTGGCATGTGCGGCTCGGAGGGGCCCTCGCGGGGTCCGGCAAAGCCACTGTGCTCTGTTTTGGGACAGGGACTGATTGTGCCACAGGCGTCCTGAGGGGTGGCCACGCTGGCCACCAGCAGGAGAGCCTGGCATTCTGTCAAGCCGCCGTCCCTTGCCTGCTCGCTTGGGGACCCCTGCTAACTTCGGCGGGGCTTGTCCCTGGTGAGACCAGTGCCCACCCGGAGGTGTGGGGGCACGTTGTTTGCTTGTGAGGCTCCTTCTGCGGAACAGACTCTCAGGGGAGAAACTGCTCCATCTGGGTGAAAGGTCGACAGCAGCTGCAGGGTGCCCTCGGACCGGCGGTTGACTTCGTGTGATCTCTGGGGTCTCCGAGGGACTTTCTGGCGTATGAGCTGCAGAATTGAGGCCTCGCCCACCGTCGGTGGCCTGGCCACGGACAGGGGAGCCTTTTCCGGGGCCCCGATGAGCCCAAGCACATGGCCGCTGGGCGGGCTTCCAGGACAGAGGGCCCGAGGGCTGGGCGTCCGCAGCGAGGACGTTGTGTTTGTGTAGAGCACTGTGAGCAGCCCTGTTTGGGGGAGATGCTGGGACTCCTTGAGCCTTTCGTGGTCTGGAAGACGGGCAGTGCTGGGCCCCCTGCACTGAGCCTCCTGTAGAGGGTCGGCTCGGGGCCTGGGGTGTTGTCCCTTCGAACCTGTGAGAGAGGCGGGCCCGGGGACCAGCTGGTGGCCCGGGCCAGAGCTGCAGACCGCACCTGCTCAGCACCCAGTGGCGTGTGAATCTGTGCGCTTTTCTCGTAGACTTGGTCAGCCCTTCGTGACCCTCCCAGGTCTAAATGTTAAGTTGTGAGGTCTTCCAAGAGCCGCGGTTCCTGAGTCAGGGTCTGCGTTCACCGGGAGTGCGCTGGGCTGCCGGGAACCAGAGACCCGAACTGTGCCCTCCGGCGTCAGAGTGGAGGTGGGGGTCAGGGCTGACTCCAGACGTCAGGGACACGTGCTCAGGGCCGGCCCCGTCCCCCCACCCTGTCTCTCTCCTCGCCCGTCTGCAGTCTGCTAACAGTTTTCCCTCCGGCCTCGGCTCCTCGTGGCTGCAGGGCAGCTGCTGCCCCTTGCGTGCTGTGCTCCCCAACATGGAGGGCACGACCTCCCGGAAGGCCCTTTGCTGCTCACGCCTGTCGTTGGCCGTGTCCCCACCTTTAAGCCGAGTCGCCAGCACAGCGAGACGGGACAGCGGTGCCTGGCTGAGGTCCCTGGGGCCCGGGAGGGGGCTGCCCCTGACGGCGTAGCTGGGCTGCCTCCCGGCCGGATCCTGGTGTTGGCGCCTCGCCCACATGGAGGAGGAGCCCTCCACTCTTACCTGAGCGTCCTTTCTTGCCTTTTTGGCCCAAATAGCCAGTGAATGAAAGTGGCCATCTCTGCAGGCATGCATGTGCACCCTTGTGCAAAGGGCGCGAGGAGCCACGCCTCTGTCCAAGCTCCGGAGCAGAGTGGGGCCCCCTCCCTGGGGGCGCCTGGGCTCGGCCTGCACGCCTGCTTTCCCGCCTCAGGGTCAGCCCCAGGGCAGAGTGACCGGGCCCTTCACAGAGAGGCCAGCCGCCCCTCGCCCTCCACACAGGCTGTCCCGGCCTGGGTTGCACCCACCTCCTGGCTGCACCTTCTACTCTCGCAGCCACCCACACCTGCCCTCTGCCCTCTGCCCTCAGCCCCGACCCCAAGGTGCACCCATGAGGCTGCTCCTGGAGCTCTAATTGCTCGGCTGGTTTTCACTGTGAAGGTTTGAAGCAATGGCCACCCTGGCCCAGGGCCCGAGGGTGAAGGAGACCCTCAGTGTGAGTGGGTGCCACGGACCCCCTGCACCCAGCCATGCCCCTCTCCATGCGCAGGCGGAGCAGATCCTGGCGGAGTTCCGGCTGCAGGAGGAGGACCTGAAGAAGGTGATGAGGCGGATGCAGAAGGAGATGGCCCGGGGCCTGCGGCTGGAGACTCACGAGGAGGCCAGTGTGAAGATGCTGCCCACCTACGTGCGCTCCACACCTGAAGGCTCAGGTACTGCAGGGGGCCGGCCAGGCAGCTCCTCAGGTGGGCAGCCGTCCCCCGGCCCTCCCAGAGGCTCTGTCCCCAGCAGCCCCCAGACAGGCCCCCAGGTACACCTGGCTCTGGTGCCTGCAGGCTCACGGTGGCCTCGGGAGCCTGGCTTTTCTCATCGGACACGGAGAAGGTGGCTCCCTGTGGTCACCGCCCCTCCCCTGAGTCCTGAGTCTGGGCCATTTCACCAGTTTTTCAGTTGAGCCCTGAACTTGGGGTGACTTCTCTTCAGGGCAGGGGGTTCCCGGGATTTCCCAGTTCACCGTTGACCCCTTGTGCCCTTCCCCTGGTCCTGCGGCCCTGGGGTCTGCCTGCCTTCCCTCCTTGCCCTGTGGGCACTGCCCCAAGGCTAACAGGCTCCTCCCTGTGGCCGCAGAAGTCGGGGACTTCCTGTCGCTGGACCTGGGCGGCACCAACTTCAGGGTGATGCTGGTGAAGGTGGGCAAGGGTGAGGAGGGCCACTGGAGCGTGAAGACCAAGCACCAGATGTACTGCATCCCCGAGGACGCCATGACGGGCACGGCTGAGATGGTGCGTGGCCTCAGCATTCGGTCAGCACTGAACAGGAGGGGCCGCCTGTCCCCCTGAGTGGGGGCTGGCCCTCAGCAGCAGGCGGGGTGGGTGGCCAGGACACCTGGAGGCGGCAGAGGACACTCGGGTGCTGGAGGCAAAAGTCGTAGTTACGGCCAGGCAGGAGGCGCCTCAGTCCAAAGCCTGCCGCCAGTGACCCTGTGACAGGGCACAGCTGGGCCGGGGACCAGCCCATCTGCCACTGCCCTGTCCCTGGGCCACGCTCGTCAGGTCAGGGGCGGCTCAGGGCCCGAGTCCCCACAGGCAGTGAGACCAGGAGCGAGGGGCTGACCGTAGGCCCTGAGTCGGCCGTCCTGGGGGCTGATGGCTCAGCCCGGGCTCTGGGGTGGGGGTGGGGAGCCGCAGCGGCCCACCGCTGTGGCCTCGGCTCTTCCAGCTCTTCGACTACGTCTCCGAGTGCATCTCCGACTTCCTGGACAAGCATCAGATGAAGCACAAGAAGCTGCCCTTGGGTTTCACCTTCTCCTTTCCCGTGAGGCACGAAGACATCGACAAGGTGGGGCCCAGGGAGGCGGGGCAGAGGGACCTCAGACCAACGGACGGACGGACAGACAGACAGACAGACGTGAGCTCCAGAGAAAGGCACCCGGTGGGAAAGTGCCCTGGGTTCGAACTGTGCCCGCCCAGTGCACAGCCCGCATTGCGACACTGCGGGAAATGACGCCAGCTGGTGCTCACTGTCTGCCTTGCCTTCTCCACGACACCGCACTGCCTGCACCCCCCGTCCCAGGTCAGGCGGGCCGAGCTGGCGACTGGCCCGGGGAGGCGGCGGTGCCAGATGGGGGCTCCAGCCGGGCGGGCGGGCTCGTCCTGCACGCCAGAGCCTCGTCACTGTGCCAGGCTCCGGGGCCCAGGCCGCGCCCTGCCTTCCAGCTGGCATGCCGACCTGGCACAGAGCCACACACGTCAGCCACACACACGTCACACACGCGCCAGCTGCACACATACCCGTCTGTGACACAGACCTCACGGCCGGGCAGCGGCGGGAGCGACGTCTCGTGCTGGTTTTCGCAGCCCCCGGCTCCACAGCTCACCGAGCGCCGGCGGTTCCCTCACCTGCCGCGGGCACACTGCGGGAGAGGAGCCCCGACCTCCCCTGGGCAGCTGCCCTCCTGACTGCGCCCTTTCTCTGGGGCCACGTCCCTGGGCTCTGCCAGACGACGCCCTCAGACCTCTGGACCCGGCCCTGCAGAAGTGCGGGAGGTCGTGGCAGACTCTCTCCAACCCTCTCAGAGCACCGCGAGCCTCAGTTTACTCCCCTGCCCTGTGGCCCCAGGCAGCTCCCCCCCTCCCCCCTGCCCTGGCCCCCTTCAGCCGCCGCCAAGGCCCCCCGTCCCCACAGGGCATCCTGCTCAACTGGACCAAGGGCTTCAAGGCCTCGGGAGCGGAAGGGAACAACATCGTGGGGCTCCTGCGAGACGCCATCAAGCGGAGGGGGGTGAGCAGGCGCCTGGCCCTGGCTGCCCCGCCCCCACGCCCTCTCCCGGTCCAGGAGGCCAGGGAGGGTCTTGTGGGTGCCCCCTCAGGAAGGGGTCTCAGCCTCCCTTGCTGGGCTGGACCGGCCCAGTGCGGGCTGAATGGAGGCCCCGGCCCCACCGCCGCCGCCTCTGTGCCTCTCGGCAGGACTTTGAGATGGACGTGGTGGCGCTGGTGAACGACACGGTGGCCACGATGATCTCCTGCTACTACGAAGACCGCCAGTGTGAGGTTGGCATGATTGTGGGTAAGGATGCGGGCACACTGGACACGTCTCCCTCGGTCCTCCCAGCTGCCCAGGCAACGGGAGGAGGAGGTGCTACCTACCAGCCCCTCTCGGGGTAGCAACAGCCCGGAGAGGTGGCTCACCTAGCCAAGGTCGCACAGCAAACCCAGGCCCTGTGTGCGCCTAGGAGGGCCTTCACACGGGGTGGGAGCCAGGAAGTCGGGGAGGGCGCAGGGGCTCCTGGAGGTGGGGGGCAGCGCTCGGAGGAGAGGCAAGCTGGGGAAGGCGGCCCCTGCCCCCAGGCCCCAGCCCCCAGGTGTTCTGTCGCTGCCGCCCTCGCGCCCCCCCCCCCGCCCCCAGGCACCGGCTGCAACGCCTGCTACATGGAGGAAATGCACAACGTGGAGCTGGTGGAAGGGGAGGAGGGCCGCATGTGCGTCAACACCGAGTGGGGCGCCTTCGGGGACGCGGGCGAGCTGGACGAGTTCCTGCTGGAGTACGACCGCATGGTGGACGAGAGCTCCCTGAACCCCGGCCAGCAGCTGTAAGCGCCCCCTGCTGGCGCCGACGGGCAGCCGCACACCACGGGCTTGCGTTTAAGCGGGTCTGGGGAAAATCACACCGACAGTCCCTCCGCGCGCGGGCTCGCCTCTCCCTCCCGCTCACACGCGGGAGTGCCCCTCCGTGAACCGGGGACCCTCCGACGTGAACGTTTCGTCCTCAGAAAGGGGGTCCGTGGGTAGACGGGCCCAGACCTCCCCCATTCCGACAGGCACAGGAAGGCTCGGAGGCGCGCCCCCCGCCTCGCTAACCGGGTGGAACCCGGAGCTCCCCAGGGCGCAGTCCTGCCCACGCTCCCAGAGCGGACGCAGCGCTTGGCGGAATGCCAGGGGCTCGCAGAACGCGGCTGGTCGGGAATCGGGCTGTCCTTTAGGGCCCGCCTCCTGCGCCAGGCGCCCGCTAATGCCCGCCATCAGCTTTGCCTCTGGCTCCAGGGACCTCCGCTAGGTCCGTAGCAGTCGGTGTGCTTCAGGCCCAAATAGCAGAGGCTCACAGCGGGGGCAGGAGGGGTGCAGGGCTCAGGAGCCCTAGCGGGCGCACCCCAGCGTGATCCCCAACCCTCGGAGGCCTCCCCAACTGTGTAACTGGGCGGTGAGGGCGGCACCCCATCTCATGGGCCAGATCCCTGTGGACTCAGCCCAGGTCCGGTCGTGAATGGCCTTGGGACTGGGCCGAGGCCCAGCGGTGGAGCCGGGCTGGAGTCGCTAATGTCCAGCTGGTAGAGGCAAGAACGGGCGGGGGTCCAGGTTTGGCACAGCGTCGCCGCGCCCCTCGTGGCCCCGCCTCCGCAGGGACCTCCCCGCTGGGGATGACCCGATCGCGCTTTGCCCAGGTACGAGAAGCTCATCGGCGGCAAGTACATGGGTGAGCTGGTGCGGCTCGTGCTGCTGAAGCTGGTGGATGAGAACCTGCTCTTCCGCGGGGAGGCCTCGGAGCAGCTGCGCACGCGCGGAGCCTTCGAGACGCGCTTTGTGTCGCAGGTGGAGAGGTGCGTGAGGCGGCGGGCCGCGGGGGTGGGGCGGCGTCCGGCCCCCAGTGGAACCTGTGCGGCCCCTCCGTGGCTCCCCACCTGCCACGGACAATGTCTCACTCTGTCCACGTAAGAGCCCGGAGGCAGGGCAGGGTCACCCACGTTAGAGCAGAGACCCTGGCCACAGAGAGGAGTAATGACTGGTCACTGCCAGTCGTTGGCAGAGTCCGATCTGCTCCCCGTCCCCAGTCTGATTCCCCAGCGCTGGCCTGGCTGAGGTGGGCAGGGGTAGGGGACGAGGCCACCACCGGCGCGGAGCGACCCTCCAGCGACGCCTTCCCCTCCGCCCCGCAGCGACTCTGGCGACCGCAAGCAGATCTACAACATCCTGCGCACGTTGGGGCTGAGGCCCTCGGCCACGGACTGCGACATCGTGCGCCGCGCCTGTGAGAGCGTGTCCACGCGCGCCGCGCACATGTGCGCCGCGGGGCTGGCAGGCGTCATCAACCGCATGCGCGAGAGCCGCAGCGAGGACGTCATGCGCATCACCGTGGGCGTGGACGGCTCGGTGTACAAGCTGCACCCCAGGTGAGCCCCAGCAGGGGGCGCCCTCCGCCACGTGGGTGTGGGTCCTGAGGGCAGAGCCCCGGCCCAGTCTCCACCCACAAAACACCAGGGGAGACGGGTGCTACCCTGGGTTTCTATCTCCTCTTCCCCCCGGCCAGGTGAAGGGGAGGGTCCGATAGGCTTGCGCAGCCCTGGAGGGTGGGCCTGGGTGAGGCTGTGTGGGAACAGAGGGAGGAGGGCCTCAGCGCTGCTTCCCCCACTCAGCTTCAAGGAGCGGTTCCACGCCAGCGTGCGCAGGCTGACACCCAGCTGCGAGATCACCTTCATCCAGTCCGAGGACGGCAGCGGCCGGGGCGCGGCTCTGGTCTCTGCGGTGGCCTGTAAGAAGGCCTGCATGCTGGGCCAGTGACAACAGCAGGGGCCTGGCCAGGAGGCGGCGGCGGCAGCATCGCTGGGCCTGAGAGCCAGGGCACAGCGCCACCCACCCCCACTGCCACAGCCACTGGGATGACCGACCGGATACAGGAAAGGCCCGCAGAGAAGGCCCGCGCCCCAGGCAGGCCGGTGCTGCCTGAGTCTGTAGTGGGATGGCCCTAGGACCCTGACCAGGCTGCGGGCTCCAGGAGCAGGAATGGAGACCCCACGTCTTTGTGGTTCTGCTGGAATCAGCCACCAGAGGGGACTGGTTCTCTCAGGACTTTGCTGCAAACCTGCGCTATGTCTGGGAGCTTTCAGCTTGGTTTGGCCAAGCCCAGGCCCCGCTGGGGGTGGGGGGGTGGTTTCTCTGGACCCTGCTGGGGCTGCGGTCCCCAGAGGCCTGAGGATGGCAGCCCCTTCCCTCCCAGGCTGCCATCCCCGAGTGCTCTGTGGTTCTGGGATGGACTTTCACAGGAGGAACCAGAGACGGGCCCCCCCCAGGCCCCCAAAGTCTGAGCGTCCAGGGAGAGGAGGACACCCCCACGGGGCTGCCACACGGGGGCAGCACTCGGCCCCACCCCTCTTCTCACCAGACCTCCACGCGCCACGCGGGCCCCTTCATGCCCAGCCTGGGACTGTGTGGTTTTTTAAATTAAAAGTTTAAAAGGTTAGAGCATGGCCCGGCCCCCGTTCTTTGACCTCCGTGCATCAGGGCTGGGGGGCGGCGTGCAGACACGGCCGCATTCCCACAGACGCTCACTGCCACTTCCTCTGGCCAGCAGCGCCGGGCTGTGCAGAGAGACAGGCCAGGCTGTGGGGGCTGGAACGGGGTGCCATCTGGGCAGTGTCCGCTGAGCGCCCAGGGAGCGCACCTGCGGGCAGGGCTGGTCTCCGGGGGTTGGTCCTGCCTCAGGTCAGTCTCAGCCAGGGGGCCCCCCAGCCCACACCTAAAATGACACCCCGTGAGAGAAACTACCCAGCACATCTGGAGCGACTTGTTTCCTTCGGAACTGGAGCCCCAGCTGTGACTCTGGGCCGGCAGCCCGCCTGGGCCGTGCCCTCCTTCCCCTGCGTGTGTCATGCGTGCTGCTCCCGGTCACTGGCCAGCAGACAGGACTTCCTCGCGGTACCTACGTCACAGTTCAGGGCATAGTATCGGTTTTCCGAAGTTCTCTGCGTGGGGAGGGTGTGGACTCGGTGACTGTCACGCTAGCCGTGTGCAGGAGGAGCCACACGGGGGCGCAGGGTCTGCCAGGTGAGGCCCCCTGGGCCCCCGCTGTGTGTGTGCTTCCCCACCCAGTCCAGCAGGGGGCAGCCACGGCCACTCCCGGTGCTTGGGATTCAGGGGGCAGCCAGAGCTGCTCCTGCTCCGGATGGTGCGGTGTTTTCTGTGACCTGGGCCCCCCACTCAGTGGTTGGGCCCTGGAGCAGGGGCTCATGACCTACTTTTGAGAGGGTCCAAGGGACCGTCTGGGGTCCAGGCAGGGCCCCTGCCCCAAGAGCCTCACACACAGGCTCCATCTGGAGTCACAGCCAGCCCAGGGCTGCCCCCCACCTCCAGCTGGGCCAGAGGCCAGAGCCGAGCTTCTGCACCAAAACCTCTGGGAGGCCCAGGCGGGCTCAGGCCAGGGGCTGTCCTCAGAACCGCCCACTGCCCTCCCAGGCCCGGTGGCCCCAGGCCGGCCGTACCCCAGTGGAACTCTCGGACTGGGCAGGGCTGGGCCGGACACGCAGGGGGGACAGGCAGATGGAGGTGATGAGTGAGGCGAACAGGAGTCTGCTCTGCCCGCAGGCAGCCTGAGCCCTGTGCTGCCCCGGGCGGTGGACACCGGGCATTCACTCCGTGTCGGGGGCCTGAGGGTCACTGGAATGTGGCTGGAATCCGTGTGGGGCCCTGTCCTCCCCCAGCCCAGGCACAGGCTGCCAAGTTTGGGTCTGTCCTCTCCTCCGTTCCTTATTTGGTGCTGCAGGTGATAAGGCCGAGACATAAAGGGGGCTGGGGGCCCCTCTGGGCCACCAAGCTGCCACAGAGCGAGGATGGTGAGTGCCAGGCCTGGGGACTGGAGTGGGGCATCCTGGGGGATGTCCTTCGGGTGGCGGGCAGAGCAGCGACTGTGTGCCTGCCCACCTAGAGCGGTGGTCCCCAGGGGCGGGAACGGGGCCGTGGCCCTGGCTTTCCTGGGAAGGCTCTGGGGTGTGCATGGGGGCGCCTTGGGGAGCCCTGGAAGGACCCGTCCCACCCACACCATCACAGGCCAGCAGGAAGGCGGGGACCCGGGGCAAGGCCGCGGCCACCAAGCAGGCCCAGCGGGGCTCTTCCAACGTCTTTTCAATGTTCGAGCAAGCCCAGATCCAGGAGTTCAAGGAGGTGAGCGCCCTCACGCACCCCCTGACCTGCAGACCGTGGTCCTGGCCCCTGGCCCTGCTTTTCCCACCACCCAGCGCTCCCTTACCCACCCCCTGGATGGGATGGGGGCTGCTCCCACCCAGGACCGTGGTGTCCACCCCGCAGGCCTTCAGTTGCATCGACCAGAACCGTGACGGCATCATCTGCAAGTCGGACCTTCGGGAGACCTACTCCCAGCTGGGTGAGCCTGCGCCTCCTGCCCACCCAGGGGACCCGCCGAGAGAGGACAGGCCTCCTTCCCCCCTCCACTCCCCACACCTCACCCGGCTCCCCGGCTCCCCACTGGCTGTCTCAAGTCCCACACCTCCTCCCCCCCAACAGCTGGGAAGGAGGGGAGGCAGCCTCAGCCTTGCTGGGGACACCCCAGGTCCCTGTGTCCACCTCACGCTCACCCCCCAACCCAGGGAAGGTGAGTGTCCCGGAAGAGGAGCTGGATGCCATGCTGCAGGAGGGCAAGGGCCCCATCAACTTCACCGTCTTCCTCACACTCTTCGGCGAGAAGCTCAACGGTGAGCCTGGGACAGGCCTGGATCCTCCGGTTGGACAGCAAGCTTGAGCCCCGCCTGGACCCACCGGAGCCCCACCCAGCCCTTGTCCGGACCCTACCCGTCCCTTGGCCACCCAGAGGATGTGGGGCTGACCTTCCCGTCCCGTGGGCACTAGTGACCCCGAGTCCCAGGTCGGTGCTGGGAGGCAGGCCTTCAGCCTCCGCCCCCAAACCCCGAGCCCACAGCCCAGCACCTGCGGACGGTGGTTGTGGTCCAGCCGAGCCCCGAGGGGCGCTCTGCATAGGGAAGCCCTTTCCTGCCTCTTCTGGGACGTGGAGGGCTCCCGCTGCACCCACAGTGCCTCCCGGGGTGCCCTGGAGGCTGGGGCACGGGTGCTCACCTGCTCCCTTGGCCGCACAGGGACAGACCCCGAGGAAGCCATCCTCAGCGCCTTCCGAATGTTCGACCCCAGCGGCAAGGGCGTGGTGAACAAGGACGAGTGAGTACGAGCTGGCCAGGCGGTGGGGGGCCCCTGCGGATGGTGGGCCCCTGCGGACGGTGGGCCGTGGCCACCTGGGCCACGTGAGCCTTCATCCCTGCCCCGCACGGCCACGCCCAGCCTCTCCCCATTGCTCCTCACTCCCCAGGTTCAAGCAGCTCCTCCTGACGCAGGCAGACAAGTTCTCTCAGGCCGAGGTGAGGGTCCCTGGCCCCTCCGTGGGGTGCGCAGCCTGCAGGGCACTGGGGAGGCCCCAGGGACCCGTCCCCCTGGGCTCAGAGCCCAGCTCTCTGCGGGAGGTGCGGTTTCAGGGGAGACCCGGGGGGGTGAAGGGTATGGAGTCAACAGGGGAGGAGGGGTGCCAGGCTGAAGAGCCGCCTGTGCCCCGAGGCCTGGGGGTGAGAGCCAGCGGCACCTGTGGCGCCGAGAGGGACAGCCGTCCCTCGGGGTTGGGGGGGTTGGGGTGGCACACAGAAGGGAGGGGCATCTGGGCCAGGGTGGGCCCTTCGACCTGCTCCCCGGGCCGCCCAGAGTCAGATGACAAAGGAAGGTCCACGCAGAGATGTGGGCTGGGGCCTGGCGAGGCCGAGGACCAGGGCACGGAGGACTGGGGCACAGTCCCCGAGGGTGGACGAGGCTCACAGGACTCGCCGGCTGTGCTTCCCTCGGTGCCGCCCAGGTGGAGCAGATGTTCGCCCTGACGCCCGTGGACCTGGCCGGCGACATCGACTACAAGTCCCTGTGCTACGTCATCACCCACGGGGACGAGAAGGAGGAGTGAGGGGCTGTGGGGAGACCACTCCCACCACCCCAATAAACCCGGTTTCCAAGGAGCCCTGCGTGGTGGCCTCTCTGTGACTGACGGGGTGCGGGCTGGCAGGGGGAGCTGCCAGCACCTCGGTTCTCCCCAGCTGACCCCTGGGGGCACTGCGCCCTGAGAGGGTGGGCCCCCTGCCCAAGGCCGGCCTCCGGAAGGAACGGGGGCTCGCTGCACCTCCCTGGGCCCAAGGCAGCCAGCGTTCGGTGGGGCTCTGCCAGCTCTGCCCTCCTGGGACCCCCGACCACGCAGCCCCATCTCGGCACATGCGCAGCGTGTGCTGGGCCAGTGAAAGGCACCGAGGAACCCGTCTGAAAACACAACCAGACTTTACCTTGGAAATGCAGGCGGGGCCCCTCCCTGCAGGGCAAGTGCTGGGGCACTGGCTGCAGGCTCTGTTAAGGGGCAGGTGGTTGCAGAGAGGGAGGGGTTCTGGCCTAGGACGATGGCAGGGCCCTTGTCCCCCACCTCACCTGCAGAACGGGGGCTGCGGGGCAGGCCCCCATCTGGGCACTGGAGGGCCGAGGAGCCTCCCGAGTGCCCGTGGGGAGGAGGAAGCACACAGAGTCCCCCAGAGTCCTCGTGGGCACAGGGACCACTGAGCGAGGGTCCTGCCCTCCGTCCAACCCCCCCCCCCCCCGGTAGAGCTGACTGTACCCTCTCCTGGAGGCCAGCAGGGAAACGGCCTTCCCATGGGGAGAGGGGCTCAGTTTTCATTTTGTGTGTGTGTGTGGGACTTGGTGGTTTTAGTGACTGCATTGACACTGCCTTTTGAGGTTATCTTTTTATTGCTCATTAGTGATCACAAAAGCCACGGAGCTGCTGCCTGGGTCTCGGTCCAGAGAACCCCCCTACACGCCCACCTGGAGTCCCTGAGCAGGTGTCGGAGCCCATGGCCCTCCCTGGGACCGTGTCCGAGTCCCCCGGGGCTCCTGGAGGACCTTTCTTGGGCTCTCGCCCTTGGCCTCCTTCTCTGACAGGGCTCCAGGAGGAGTTCAGCCCGGGAGGTTTGCAGAGAACCACCATCCCACCCCAGGCTCCAGCCCAAACCCCTGCCCAGCCCAACACCCTGCAGACCTTGGACGCAGAGGCTGGGGCCCCCAGCGGCAGCACAGGCCTGGAGCAGGGGCTACTGATGATGCAGAAGCTCAGGAGGTGCTGGGGAACAGGGTTAGTCGCTCAGGCTCAGAACGGCCCTCTAGCCAGGCAGGTGGAGATGGCTGCAGCGGCAGGTGCAAACTGGACATAAGAAAAGGTTAATCCTCCCTGGCACGAAAAAGGAAACACTTTTTTCCCCTCCATTTTCTTAGAGCGCTTCCTTTAGAAAACTTGTGATCTCACATCCTTTCCCTGCCTCTTTTTGTGTACATCTGTTTAAAAGCCCAGTGAGCCTCTTGCAAGTTTTGCATTCCAGGAGGGGTCCTGGGGACCGGCCGGGCCGAGGGGCCATCGCTCTGAAGGGAGGTCCCGATGCGTCTCCCGTCTCCGGGTTTCGTGGGAGGCAGGGGCCTAGGTCCCGGCCCGAGGCAGTGGCACAGGTGTGAGAAGTCTGTTCTCCTCCCGGTGGGGCAACGCGCCCACCCAGGGGGGGAGGCAGAGGCCTGTGGGGGTGCCCTGCAGGGCCAGGCCGGGTCCTCTGGAGAGCAGCCGGGCGAGGGCACCTGACTGTTCCCCCCGCTGCTTTGTGAGGAGCACCGACTTCCGGCTTAGTGCTTGCTCAGCAATAAATCTGTTTTCTTTCCAATTACTTTTGTGGAGAGGTCTTCTGTTTTAATTGCCGGCCCAGCACAGCCAAAGCTCCCTCCCACCAGAGCCTCAGCGGGCCACTGGGCTGGGGGCGTGGGGGCCTCGCACAGCTCCTCGGTGGTGTTTTCGGATTCGGTCCTGAAACCCCTTCAGCCCCGGCCCGGCCCCGCCCCCACCCCCGTCCCCGCGGGGCGAACGTGCGGCACCACCACCCATGAAAGTGAAGACGGCTCTGGGGCCGCCCCCGGCGGGAGGGACCTGGGCTCCGCACCCTCCTCCGGGTCCGAGCGCTGTCACCACCCCCGCCGCCCACCCTGGGTGGGTCTGTCTCCGGCACAGGCGGAGGCTGAACGCCCGGGTCGGGGAGGGTCTGGGAGATGGCAGTGCTGGCGCTCTGCTCCGCGCTGCTCCGCAGGAATGCGGCAGAGACTGGGAGATAACGGGCCAACACACTCCGCCTTCTTTGCTGTGAGCCTTCCAGAAGCTTCTGGTGGAAAGGCTGGGGGCAGGGAGACACGGGGGGGGGGAGGGGCTCCTGCTGGGTGAGGCCCCCGGGGGCTCACTGTGTACAGGGGTGGCCTTGAACAGCCCCTGCCCTCTCTTGGACTCGGTTTCCCTCCCTGGGGAGGGGCAGCTGGGCTGGGCATGGGCAGCAGCAGCGGGGTCTCCTGAGCCCCCAGGGGTGGTGCTGAGCTGCACACCTGACAGGTACAGAGTCGGCTGCTGGACACTGACTCAGCTCACTGACTACATGCGCAGAAGGAGGGACCAGAGGTCAGATGGGGGTGAAGCGGTAACCCTGACAGTGTCCGAGTGCCATCCACGCAGGGGGCCCGACAATTTCCTGGCGGAAAGGCGGGTGAGGGCCCCCTGAGTGCGGCAGGGGCCATCATGAGGCGGCACAGCCCCCGGAGCCACAGCCGTGTGCACCACCGAGGGGACACCTCAGGGCGGGAGGTGCTCGGTGTGCCCTCTAGCACAGCGCCACCTAGTGAGTGATGGGGGCATCGGGGGCCCCCAGCCTTCTGGAGCTGGGACCAGGAGGCTCTGCGTGCGGACCAGGAGTGGGCCGTGGGCCTTGCCCCTCAGGTGCTAGCACGGAGGGAGGGGGCAGGAGGCGTGGCTGTGGTCTGTCCCCCCTTCCTTGCTCTGCCCTTCATCGCCCTCTCTGCACCCCAGGAACTGAGCAGCCTCTGACCTCCCCCGGCCCTCCTGCTGCCTGTGGAGCATCCCCACAGGGACAGGCTGCTGACGTGCAAGCCACAGGGCTCCAAAATAGAATCTTATCAGCCCTGCCTGCGCTCTGAGGTCAGCAACACCTCCCCCACCCTCTCCCAGGACCTGCCAGGCACCGGCCCACAGCCAGCTCCCGCCGGGTCAGAACCGCTGGCGAGCCGAGGCCCCCCTGCCTGCAACACCTCCAGGGTCCAGCAGTGGCAGCCTTGAGAGGGGGGACCCCCTGCCTCAGGCCACAGGGGACTGCGCTGGGGGGGCCGCTGCTCCCGGAGGGACACAGAACAGAGGCAGCAGGTCTGTGGTGGACAGAGGCAGGGAGGGGAGGGAGAGGAGGGGAGCAGAGGCACAGGCCGGAGAGCCAGTGACAGACGGGGACGGGCCGCCCTTCCTGCCTGCACTCTTGTAATGAAACCCACTCTTTGCTACATCACCTCTGGTTGGTTTCTGTGACTTTAGATCAAGACATACAGGCTCTTGCCTCAGGCCTGGTCTGGGGGCCATCTTCCAAGCCAGCTTTACCTGGCTTGCTCTCACCTGTGTCACTTCCAAAGGGACCTCCACAGCCTGGACAACAGCTACTGGCCTGGCCCAGGACCATTCCTACAGCTTTCTGTTTCCATCCCACAAGGAGGAGCTTGTAGTGAACAGGGGCCATTGTACCAGCCCCGCACCTGCCCCCTTTCCAATAGCACTGAGTCCCATGGGGCTCTTGGCCTGTGCTGATCTGGGGGTGGAGGGAGTTCTTGGTAACCATCCCTGCAGAGGCCCAGGGCTCAGACCGCAGCCACATGGAAGGCCTTTGGCACCTGGCCCCGCCAGCTGGGTCCCCTCTGCAGGATGCGTGAGCCAGTAATTGGAGGGAGAGGGAGTGCTGAGGGCGCCCACCCCAGGCCTGGCGTCAGGTCAGAGAATCCCAGGCAGGAGGTCATCGCTGTGCTCCCTGCTCCTTTTCCCTCCCGTAGTTCCCATCGCCCCCAATCCCAGCTCTCTGACTCCCCAATTCTGTGAGCTCCCAAAACCCAACTAACCCCACCTTTACTTAAGGAGGCCACAACCAGGGCACACCTGCCCTTCAGCCACCATTGTGCTGCAGCGGGGGCTGCCCGACTGCAGGGCCCAGGAGTCATTTCAAGCCTCGTCCCACACAGCCACGAGGATGGCCACCCTCTGGTCCTCAGGCCACTGTGTCCTGAGACCAAAGAAGCACTCAAAGCAGCCTGTCTTTCGGAAGCCCCACCCTGCTCCCAGATTCCCTGAGCAGGCAGGCCTCCACCTCCATGCTCGCTAGTGGTGGTTCATCCCCCCACCCCCACCCCATCTTGCTCCAAGGAGGCTCCTGGACTACCCTGGCCCCCTGCCCCCAACCTCTCTCTCTGTGGCGTGACCTCATCCTACCCACCATGCCAGTTCAAACCAGCCTCTCTTCTGCTGTGGCCTGCTGCATTGGCGCCCCCACCTGCCCCCCCACAGGCCCACTCCTGCTCCCTCCCTCTCACAGGTAAGTGTGCAATAAATGTTTCAGTGATGATGATGACTTCCCTTCACTTCATGCTAAATTCACAAGTTTACCATTTGGCCTGTGAAAGAAACAACAGGTATCCAACATGCAAAAGAAGAAAGTTGGACCCTTCTCTAAAACCATATGCAAAAATTAACTCAAAATGGACCTAAACCTAAGAGCTAAAACAATAAAACTCTTAGAAGAAATCATAGCAGGAAAGCTATGATTTCTTGGATAGAACACAATGGAATGGGAAAAAAACATTATAAATCACAGATCTGATAAGGGATTAATATCTAGGATAGATAAAGTGCTCCTAAAACTCAATAACAAAACACAGCCCAATTAAGAAATGGGCAAAGCATTTAAATGAAAATTTCTTCAAATATTTACAAATGGCCAGCAAATCATGCAAAGATGCTCAGCATCGCTAATCACCAGGGAAACGCAAGTCAAAGCCACAGGGAGATACCACCGCACACCCACTGGGACGGCCGCTGTTTAAAAACTCAGAAAACGGCATG